ATTTATTTTTTTGCAGATTATGTTTTCAAATATTATTAGGGAATTGGTAATGCGTTATGAAGCAATTTTCAGATTCTCATTCATTTTAGAATTGATCTAATTTCTTAATTTGCTTTCTGTCGATTTTTATTTTTTTGAGTGAAAATCATGCGTCGGACAAAGAAATACCAGAAGATCAAATTTCCTCAAAAATAAATGAGGATTTCAAAAATGATTTTATTTTGAAAAGAAAGCATTGGCGTAGTACTTTTTCCCCAAAAATATTCAATGCGAAACCCGTAGGGATGCCACTGCCATGCCACTGCCATGTACCAAATATGCCAAAGATGTCTTCAAAATTATCTCAGTTATTATTAAAAAAATGATTATTTTTGAAAACTTTGCCACCCTGTATCTCAAAAGTTAAGCCGTTTAGAAGATACGTTTAGGAGATACGTAGGAGGACGTTTTTTCCTTAAAATGGGTCCAAGAATTACCTCCTTAAATATCAGCATGTGTTTAAGGAACACCCTGTATAACGAAAACAGGAGTCATTTGGGCTGAACGTGAGCGTCTGTAAGAACACATAGGCGTAAATGGGGAAGGCGACACGGCGTGGCAGTTCCCCCCCAAAACCTACGTTGTCACGTATATTTTTTCATTTCAAGAACACCCCGTTTCATAGTAGTCGTTCCACTCTGAATAAAATGTTGCCACCTCCATTGAAATGCTAAATTCACGACTATTCAAGAGCACACTAAAAAACTGGCCACACGTTTTTTTTGTGTGCGTTTTTCTTCCAGGAAGATTTAAGAAATTCAACAATATTTTACATACTATTACAATAACCTTCACTTCAAAATTACACTCTGACATAAAATAAACTAAAACAATAAAAATTGAAATGATTTTGCCAAAAACCTTGCGTATTGCGTACAATAGCACAAAAATTGTATATCATCTAGTATAGTTCAAAATAAATAAATATCCTTGAACCACAAGTTGTTAGGTATAATGGGAATGAAATTCAAATATTGTTTTTATAACAACTAATAAAGCTTGAGTTGTATTCAGTTGCGTCTCTCAGTCTTCATTTCCCTTTCGTAGAGGTATTAGAAAAGAAGGAGCTAACAAAACCTGTAAGTGTTTAAAAACCATTCCCAACAACAATTAATTTCCATATGTTAGCAGTAATGTGTTTCAATATAAATGGATATATGAATAACAAATCTGTAGAATAAAGAAGAGATTGAAATAATCATAATTGTTAAAATGAAAAGCAAATTGGTAAAATGAAAGAAGCCCAAATAGCGTAAAGTGATAGGAAAGTACCAAAATAAAGACATTTTTCCACCTTGCTAATGATACTAATGAGTTTATTCACTAGAATTTGAGAAAAGTGATACTGAATATTAGTCAGTAATCTCTTGGTGAGAGATATTACTAATTCAACATTGATATTATCGCTTGCTAGATCGTCTTGACCCATGTTTTCCAAGAATATTTTCGTAAAGTACCTAGTCATCACCGTTATTGTTTCTCAGGATCCATATTTTTGCTGACCCTCTTTCGACACCATATGAGGGATTTTGCACGTCAGCTACACCTGACGATGCCTTAAATTCAGCCGTGCAGGGATTTTTCGCCTCTGGTTTTGGTGAATCATTACTTGGGCACAAAAGTTTGCAAACCTGCTCATGGGGGGTTTGTTTCCCCACCTGAGACAGATTATGCGTACGCTGCTCAAGAATATGGTGCAAGGCGGTTTTATAAGGTACACCGCTCTTGAGGAGACGACTCAGTCGTTTCCTGGCTGCACCACCAAACCTTTTGTTTTAAGGTTCAGTTGTTAGATCAGGAGTTGAGAAGCTCTCACTCCTCAACTGAATTTACAGGGAGATCAGTTGGAGTCATAAAATCGACATCCATTTCCTCTGTAGACTCGCTCCTGAACTAAATTTACAGAGAGGTCCGTTGGAGTCGTAAACTCGACATCCATCTTCTCTGAAGACTCGCTCCGAATTAAATTTACAGGGAGGTCAGTTGGAGTCGTTAACTCGGCATACATTTCCTCTATAGTCTTAGCGTCAAAAAGAATGTTTTAAGTTTACTCTGCCCATATAGGTCCCACGAGTAGCTAGGGAAAGAAGGTCAATCACGGCAGAGCCGCGCATTATCGTGACAAGGCGATGCTACGACGAGAGGGCGCCCGGTATCTCGAAGGTTCCGTAGAGACAGCTGATAGGCTCATTGTCATTCATCCTCTCGGCACGGATACACACACCTTAGGATTAGGCCATCGTTGGGATGCCATTCGGTTAGGGAATAACAGATCCACAAGTGATTCTGTCATTCCCGTATCCAGCGGGGCAACGTGGAAGCAGTCATCAGATGACCGGTTTGCTCAACCCCAAATCCCAAGTCAATGCACTCGCTGAAAACTGCATGTACAATGGTTCAGGCAGTGAAAGATGAACAAGGACCGCAACCCAATATTTAGCTTTACTCACGACAGCAAATTTGCCTCATCTCCTCAAAAATGATGCATTTCAACATATTTTCTCATCCTATTTTATTTTAATTTCAGCTCATCTTCTCTCATTTGTTTCAGGGATAGATGGCATTTTGCTTGAAGGGGCAATCTTTATGAAATCGTGATAGGCAAAACCCCCATGTCTTTGGTAATCACCCATTTCTTTCTCTATGTTTGCCCACTTCATTGTCTACCTACATTCATTCTACAGTAAATCATTTGTTTTCTCTCTATTTTCTTTCTCTTTTGTTTCAAAGATATATCTCATTATTTTAAACGTACTTTTCAACCTTCTTCACTTCTACCAAAGACCATTTTATATTTCCTGCCTCAAAATTGCTAGCGCTCAGCCTATTCCCAAAAAGGGCAAATAATCTTTCAAATAACTAAAGACCAATCGCTTTACTATCAGTGATATCAAAAATCATGGAGAAAGCCATAAACCACCATACTCTGAAATATTTGGAAGGCTTTACCATCCTGAGCGATCATCAATATGGATATCGGAAACAGATATCAACAAGCGACCTTCTACCGTATATCACCCATATTTGGAATAACGGAATCGAAAAACATAGAGAGTTAAGAACTGTTGCGCTTGATATTTCTAAGGCCTTTGACCTTGTGTGACATGAGGGTTTACTGGCCAAACTTCTATGTTAGGCTTGTATACTTTTTCGATAAGTTTGTTGAGGGTTGAAATGGGCACCAATATGTCACGGCACAATCATGTTGCTGGAATAACAAAGGCTGCTTCTCAAAAGCTTGGAACACTGTTTCAATAAAAAAAAAACTGTGCACACCTCAGCAAATTTTGATGCTTCATAAAGCTCAGATCAGAACTTATTTGGCGTATCGTTCCCTGAGCATACTCGAGTTCCTCGATGTTATTGAACTCTCACCCCACTTCGCCGGCTAATCTGCTGCCAATCTGTAAATGTAACCTCCAGAGATTTGAATTCAAACACTCCATCATTAAACAGCTCTTCCATTCAGAAGCTTCACTTAAAACTCGATTGTTCATCTGTTTTAATTTCTTCTTGAATAGACGAAGATAATGTTTTTGTGTATACTAAATCGTGAAATCACTATTGAAAACCAGTCCATCGAAATACAGTTACGCATTTTTATCCTATTTACCTCTATATTCAAATAAACTCAAATCGTTCAAGCGAAACCGCTTCTTCACAAAGTACAGCAAAGATCAACAGGAATAGTAAATCGGTGTTCCGAACTAATTACATGTAATTTCCACGAATTGAACGGTTAACTCGATTGGAAACGCATTAAGAGATTATTCTAACTGTAATTGAATATTCGCAGACATTTAGTGAATCATAACGAGTTGAAAAATGACGATGAATGGTCTTCTTTCAACCGGATATCTCTTGCTAAGGTTTGGAAACTATATTTATTAATTTTCTGTAAATAATTTTGTTGAATATCGACTTGAACCTGAGTTTCCAGACTCAGAATTTGGTGAATTTTATTTTCAAGGAAATGTATGGCCCATGTAGATTCCCTTGAAAATAACTAGCAAGTACGAAAAATAGTATTAGGTTGATTCAAAGGTGTTGTCCGTTTTTATAAGTCTACTTCACTCAGTTAATACTCATTCAATTCAATGTAAATAAGCGACCTTTGAATCAGGGCACTTTTGCCAACATAACACAAGTCAATTGTTTCCGACAGCACAAAAATTGTGTGCATGGTATTCGGTCAAGTCGACGAAGGCCGTTTTCGCCTGGTCCTGATTTGCGAAGGTTCTATCTGTAAGAAAGTTATCGAAGTGCTTGACAAGATGGTATTCGGTTGTCGAGAGGTCTGGGGGAGTATGGTGTGTGAGTCAGAACTTCCACTGTTAATTCGTTTAGATTTTGGAAGGGCCTTGTCGTGGAGCAGGATCAGACCTCTATTGTTGGCCAGTGCTTGCAATTTTTGGTACATTTCTTCTATTTTCTCACAATAGGACTCTGCTATGATGGTTTTGCCCGGTTGCAACCGGGTTACACGTTGTAACACACAACGTGTTACCTCAGGACTAGTACTGGAGTGCCACCAAGATTTAGACAAAGCGTCGGTAGATAATAACATTATCCTGAGGTGGATTAAAGGGCACGACACCGGGCCAAACCCGTGTTACAATGTGTAACACACAACGTGTTACCTCAGGACTAGCACTAGAGTGCCACCAAGATTTACTTCGTAGTAGGCTTTCCTCAACAGAATAGTCTTTAGTTCCTTTTTGAATATTTCCAGGTGTGTATCTTTCAATTCAATAGTTTATTAAACAGTCTCATTCCTAGATAATTGCGACTAGTACTTGCTAATTTATGTTGTGGAATCAGCAGGTTGTATTATAATTATGATTATCACTAAGTGTCTGATAGTTGCTGATATTTTCTTTTATGAATACCAAGTTAGTATATATGACTGATGAAGGTAACGTCAAAATACCTGCGGCTTACAACTTTCCAGTCTGTTTAAACCTACAATTGCTCTAATTGCTCTTTTTCGGAGTAAAAAATAGGCTGTAAGTAGATAGAGTGTCCCCAATACGATAATCCATATGTCATAACATTATGAAATAGTGAATGGTATGTCATGATAGCCGCTTCCCTACCTAAATTAATTTTAACTTGTCTGATAGCATAAATGGCCTTAGATAACCTACTCGAAAGAATGTATGTGTGAGTTTTCCAGGACAAGTTTCTGTCCAAGTGAATTCCTAAAAACTTTAACGACTGATCATCATTTCCTTGGTTTAGGAATATCATAGAAGCTGTTTTCGCTTTATTGATTTGTAATATATTTGCTTTAAACCAATCATTAGCTGACTCAGTTATGTCCTGGATAACGGTGGTTTCCTCTCCTTGTCTTACTCTCGTATAAAATGTTGTGTCGTCGGCATATAAGATAGTCTTCATATTAATTGAAGAGGGCAAATCGTTTATATATATAAGAAACAGCAAGGGTCCAAGAATACTGCCTTGTGGTACTCCATATTCTATTGGGGATTGTCTACTGAAATTATTATCATGGTACACAGATTGTGTTCGATTTGTCATATAAGATCGCATCAAATCAAGAGATATACCTCTGAGACCATAGTATTCCAGCATTTCGAGTAAAATATTTTTTAAGACACAATCGAAAGCTTTACTCAGATTAACAAATACTGCCAAGGTTGATACTTTGTCTTCAAATCCCTCTCCTATGAAATTGGCTAGCTCAAAAACTGCCCCGGCAGTACTTTTCCGCTTTCTAAATCCAAACTGCGAACCCGTGAATAAGTTATTTTATTCTAAAAATGAGGCTATTCGTATTGCAATTTTTTCAGCAATTTTACCCAAAATTGGGACCAATGCAATTGGTCTGTGTTTTGATATCGATGTTGTATCTCCTGATTTGAATATTGTTATCACTTTTGCGATTTTCAGTTTATCCGGAAATATTCCATTTAATATATTATTTATTATCTGAGTTATTGGTTTTAGTAATGCATCTAGGTTTTCTTTATACATAAACACTAAGTGGTTGTAGATGTCAGTTGAATTGGAATTCTTGAATGATTTTATTATATCAGTTATTTCTTCTTCTGTTGGAGGATAGATGAAATGTGAATTTCCATTTAAGGTAGTAGGGGATTTACCCAGATGGGTCGAGAAATGAGCTTTCAAAGGTGGAATTTCATTGATTATTTCATTTACGATATTCACAAAGTAATTGTTAAATTCTTCGGCAGATATCGTCGTAGTTGTCTTTTTTTTAGGTTTCCTTCCTGTATTGGTGTTGATGTGCTCCCAGATAGCTTTTGGTCTATTAGACGACTCGCGAATATTATTCAGCGCCACTTGCTTTTTCCTATTAATAAGTAGTTGTTCATACTCGTATTTCTTTAATTTGAATTGTTCTTTGAATTCTTCATTAACGGTTTAAGTTGGTAATTTCTGTCTTGGCTTTTATAATGCTAATATTGACTGTAGCTTCTTTATTTCTCCGGTAATCACCCTTCACCTTGATTAACGGAAAGCTCATTTCGTGGTAATATTGAAAAATATTCAGAAATGTTTCAGTGCACTCATTAGAATCTGTTATTTCATCTAAAGCAACCCAATTTGCTGCAGAAAGGAATTTTTTTTTAAATAATTGCTTATTTTCATTGTTTTTGTTGAAAACTAATTTACTCGTGATATTCGCCCTTTCCAAAATATATGTGAATTCAACCGATTGTGCTTTGTGATCGAAATTTTTAGAAATATTATCAATACAGGAGTGACCTCTTGTCGGTTCTATAATATTCCTTTCCAACCCAAAAGCTGAGAAAATATCAGCAACCTCACGACAAATAGTCGATATTAAGCGCTCGTCGCTTTTTTCACAATAATAGTAGTATATTTCGTTCGTTATTGTACTGGTACTGAAAGTCTCTCCATTTTTATTATAGATTTTCACTATAAACAGCAATAGGGATTTCTCTTACAGTAGCTTTCTTATGCAGGAATCATCAATCTTGTATAATCCATTCCTGCTCAAGAAAGCTATCGTGTAGCAAAACACGTGTCTCGGGAATATAAACTGTATCAGTAAGTTTTGAAATATCGGAAAGAACAATCGTTCAAGCCAGTCTCAACTCACCTACACTGCAAGTTAGTGGACTGACACGTATCAAAAAACAACTACTTCCCTGGCTTATACTACGTCAGTCCATTAACCTACAGTGTAGATGAGTTATGACTGGCCTGAACAATTTTTTTAGATAATTTGATTTACAGACAGTCTTCAAGTATGTACTATATGTGCAGTTAGTTTTGATAAGAATTTCTTCTAGTATCAGCCATGTCAATTCGATTCTCAGAGCTACCCCAACCCGGTGACGTCAATTCATATCTATCACTACTAAATGTTAACGATTACCACTTGTTTTCATTATTTCAAAGCGACGGAAACACGACAGAAGAAGCGATCGCAGAGCAGTGCATGTCTTTGCTGAACCCACTTATTTTTTGCAGGTTTTTCTTCCGTAATTCCCGGATTCCCTCGTTACTCCGTGATAGGGGACAGACGACACGGAGTTTACAACCTGAGGGTGAGCAATGCATCCCTCGAGGACGACGCCGAGTATCAGTGCCAGGTGGGACCGGCAAGACTGCAGAAGGCCATCAGGGCCAACGCAAGACTCAACGTTATCTGTAAGTCAATTTTTGTTATTGATTTTTGGTGGTATTACGCGTATTGCGTTTTTGTGAGAGAACGGGGGTTTTGGGGTGTTGGGGAGGGGTGTTCGGAACTCTATCACCGCGGACCGCGCGTCCCGCACGCGCGGGACAATAAAAAAAAAAGACGTCAACATTCTATCAAGTTTTTTTTATTTTTCCTGATACATAATCAGTTCATGCAATCTAGCAAATGAAAAGGTAAAAGAAATTCAAGAAATGCATTGGAATTTTAGACGATATCGCAAAATTTCAAATTCTTGCAGAATAACCACAGCAGGAACTTGAACCTAATGTAAGTTTCACATCTCAATAATATTTATTCACCTAAGCCTTCAGCATGCACAGTCCGTACTCAAAATCTTTCAGTGAGGAATTTCCAAAATAAATTTCGAACATTTCCCCGAGGAAAGTACATTTCATATCGAACTTTGATCTCAAAAGTTGCGAATGAAAGGGTTTCTTATTCATACAGATGTGCACTCATGCAAGATGCACCAGTGTATTCCGAGATACTTCCTCTAGGATTTTTCCTCGTTAACGTTACGTGAAAAGAAAGAGACACTGACAGTTGCCAAAGCAAAGTTTCATATAAGAACCTATATTTCCTGCGCCGAGATCAAAGGAAGAAAATTCAAATTATACATGCCCGTACACACTTTGTGAATAAGATAAAATGTAGCACAATTTCTGACAGTATATTTATACGTTTTCCAACAAAATTACTTTTTGAAATGACAAAGGTAAGACAGCCAAGAAAATTTTATCGCGTCAGCAAATACATAAAACGTGGAGTTTAACAAACATAAAAGTTTCAGGTGTAGTCGGAGTTTTGCGCTTCTCAAAAGAGTAGGTTTTTAATTTTGCTGAACGATTTTTCCTTTTTATATATGTCTTTGAAATTGAAATTATTGCACTTTTTGTTATTGGGAGGATGGTGAAATATGGAAAACGGAAAAGTGTTTCCCACTTTTTATGCAACTTTTGCTCAATTTATTTGTGAAGGGACAAATGTTTTCAGAACTTATGTTTCAATAGAAAGTTTGAGAGTTTTATTGTGGTCGCAAACAGTATAACATTAAGTAGTTGGAGAGATAAGTTCGAAAGTAATATTCAATTTGAGTTACTAATATCCCGAATTTGTTACGTCCATAGAATTTTGACATACTTGGCGATAAACAAATCTAATCGAATGAAGCCCTTTATGTATATTGAGTACATCGTGATTCATGGAAAACGGAGTAAAATCAATTTCTCACATTTCAAAAAAATCTCTCGTACTGGTCCATCTACCAGAAATACTGACGAGCAGCGGAAGTATAACGAGGACTTATTTTCAGGTTAATGAAAATTGTTAACGTGTGATTTTCAAAATTTTTCAAGTACTTCTTCGGTTTTTACCAGAAACTGCCTTATGATTTTCTGGCACTAATCGATGGGTCAATATTGAAGTAACTCAAAACAATAACATCTATTGCTTCGTTTTCCACCATCATACTTTTTTATTTGCCACCATTATGGTCATTCAATAAATGTGCTGTAATATTAGTGTACCTACCATTTTTATAATATAGTTCAATTATCTGTACCCATGTGAAGTTGAATGAGCTATTGAAAACAAAATATTATGCCAAAATATCCATATCCATATCCAGTTGCAAATTGAAAAACAAATAATAATAATAATGAATATTCTCATGCAACACATAAATGTAACTATGAGAATATAAAAACTATAAAGCATAAAAATATAAAAGTGAATGGATAGAAAATAACAGTAAGAATCAACTTCGCTCGAGCTATTCGCGGGCAGATGGCGCTATACGTAACCTCCTTGATAGGTTGTTCAAAAGAAAATCAAAATAAATAAATATAGTTCAAAAAAACTAAAAATCACGCTTTTAAAGAACATTGAACTAAAAAGTTGAAAATAAATGTAGTTTAAAAAAACTAAAAAACACGCTTTTAAAGAACATCGAACTATAAAGTTAAAATTTTTTTTTTAAATAAGCATAAAACAATAAAGATCCAAAAATACTAGTATTATTGTGAAAAAAGCGTGGCCGCTAGATGTACACAAAATATGGCAGAAAAGAGCCCACGCTTTTAAATTTTTAGTTCGATGTTCTTTAAAAGCGTGTTTTTCAGTTTTTTCAAACTATATTTATTTCATACCTGGGTTTTGCAAAACTATCACCCCAATCTGTTGATTTTTTTGCGGAAGAAATAGTTTGAGCATATCTTCAAATTCCTGCAACAATAAATCTAATGGACCGAAACGAAAATAGAACGTTCTGACTATGACTGCGGATATCAAAAACCGTTCTGGTGCACTCTCCCCCAATCTTTGTGTTTTGACGAAATCACGAATCTGATCAGGGCTCTATACACGCTGACGCAAACAAAACAACATTATTTCTCCCTTCTCCGTGACCACATGAATATTCATAAAAGTGCCCCGATGCTGAAACGGCTGCCATGTACAAAGAAAATTGTCCGATACGACTCAAAGAGAATTTATTATTCCGTTTGTTGCTTTTGAAACATGATTCTCAATGAAAAACGATAATAACCTGGAATCAGAAATGAGGCGGCTTTGAAACAAGTCTCATTCTCCGGGATACCTTCGTTTTAGATAGGAAAGTCTTTGTGATTCACGGCGCAGGAACTTCCATAGGCATTCACTCTTCATGTGATAGCCGATCCCGGGAAATGAAGAAAATTAATGGCGTAAATCTATATTGTGGTCGAATATGAAGTTTTTAGATTTATACACAACGTGTTCATCTTATATCCGCCCATTTTGAACGTCCTATACGGACATTTTCAAACTTATACATTTATTGTATAAGTTTGAAAATGTCCGTATAGGACGAAACTGCAGTAAAGGGTTTACTGG